TCCCTAGCCACACTCATCCCCTTCCTGGGGGACCCTTGCTCCTCTTGCACATGGGCCAGCAGCTGTAAATCTGCTCTGGCCTGGCCTCTGCTTCATGATGCAGGTACATCCCATCTGCTGGGCAATCTGCCTCTCCTGCTGTGGTACATGCCAGCTGTCTGTCCTGTGATTTCTGGGTGCAGGTGAGATCATGCCCTCACGTGCCCAATGCTGATGCTTCCAGCAGCAGTACCCGGCCCTCCCTGCTCTCTCCAGAGCCAAGCCTGGAACTGGTGCCCCTGCACTCACCAGGGTGCTTGTAAATCTCTTTTTGCTCCACTTTCACATGAATAATGACTTCTGCTTCTTCAAGGCTACATTTAGCTAGATGCACAAACAGCAGTTCCCTAACCCCATTGCCACACGGAGCAAACACTAAAAGCCGCAGGGTGGGGACACAGCACAAAGCAATTTGCAGCTGTACTAGCTGTTCACACTGAGTTTGTAAGGATGAGGCTGAGTCATTGTCTTGGGCAAAAATGAACTTGGAAGGCTGCAGGACTCTGGGAACAGAAGCAGAGATGGGATTGCAGCAATACTCAGTATGTCTATAGTGAGAACTGGAGAGAAAAGACTAATTGGACCAGACCAGAGTTGACCCTGTTCTGTCCAGAGTACAAGCTAGCCAAGGCTGTGCACCAGACTGAAGAACAAGGAGCTGAGCAGCACATGAAAAAGCCTCTCAGTAAGTGCCACTATACAGATGCTACCTACTGGAAGGGCAAGTGCAAAGGGAATCTTCTGTACATGCACAAACTCAGTGTTATATACCCAAGTTCACTTTATCAGTAGAGGTCAGTATGCTTCAGCAGCTGGTTGCCCTGAGCAGAGTGAGTCTTACCTGCAAAATTCCCCCTGCAGCAGAAATGCTGCCTGGTGTGCACTAGGCACTTCAATCACATTGCATGTTGCTGGCCTGCGGTGGTGAGTCTTCCCCTGCGGCAGAGGGGGCTGCAATCTTGTTCTATACCAACAGACTCTCCCAGAGAGCCTGAAACTCCCAGAAAAGTGAAGTGGATTTCCATCTGGTCTGCTTTTGGCAAGCCCTCTGGACTCTGGGCCACCAGGCAGGGCAGGGGACCAAAACCTTTCTCCCTCTTCCAGGAGCTGAAATCAGGTGGCAGCTGCTTGCTCTGCAGAGGTGGCTCAGGCAGCACACCTCCATGCAGTTATGGAAGGCACCTCTCTCTGCACCAGGCTTGGTCCAGTCCAGGGAATGGTTGTGGCCTTGCCAAGAAGAAGGGATTTGAGACCCAGCAAGTCTGTCACCTGCTGAGTAGGTCTGCAGCTTCCCAAGTGGGGAACTTGGGATCTCCATGGGATCTGCCTCTGCCTGATGCCAGCACTACTCATCTAGGATACGAAACAACCTGGGCTGGACCCAGAGACACACTGCAGAAAGCAAAGGGACAAGATGGGAGCCTGAAGAAATATGCAACTCCCTAAGGCCATTTTTCTCTAGTTACTCTCATCCCTGGCTGGAGGAAGGCGCGCTCTGAGTGGCATAGTAATATTTACACCTTGTACCAGGGCTAGCAGGAGTAGGACTGGGTGCAGGGCCAGGGGCCAAACCAGTGTCCTGCAGGAATGCTGAGATAGCATAGGTTCAAGAAGGGCTGAGGACACTGCAAGCAGTTCCTGAGTGTGAGTAAAGAGAACCCTGTAAGGTAACGCAGCCATGCTCCCCTGGAAAACCATTATTGCGTGGAAGGGGGCAATGGGACTGGGCTGCAGCTGGCCTGATGCCCTTTAAAATTAAGCTTTAATTAAGAAACAGCAGGAAGAGGCTAAAAAAAGCCCCACAAAACATGCAAGTGTGCACCCCCAAAGATGTGATCTGTTCCCCTAAATGCAGGAGGAGGATACCTCGTGAGACGAGTGCTAGGCAACTGTCCACACCTTGCTCTGCAACGTGGAAATGCAGCAGCTCTCTGTATGTGCCTCCCTCTCCTGTTAGCAGGAGCAAGTCACCTCCCTTCAGGGCAGGGACAGGCTTGGGACTGGCACTTTTGGAAGCAGCCCAGCTTGGGCTGAAGGCTTGGCCAGGCTTGTAAGGAAGGTGGGGGAAGGTAAATCAGACACCCACCTTAGGGACAGAAATGTCCTCACACTAAACCCCCCTCCCTTGGGACCCCAACAGAGCAGTCCTGCACTGGCATGAGTTTGACAGGTCTTCCTTACACCCAGCACTTCCACGGTCGCTGGCCCCATCAGGCAGCAGGGAAGGGTTAAGAGCTGCAGCCTGGAGGGACTTTGCACCCAAATTTGGGGTTTTGCAAGAAGTTGTCACAAAAGGCTGAGCGGAGACAGAAATATTTCCATGATGTATCCCATTCGTTTGTAATTCCAAATGAAACGGTTTCCTTTTAAACAAACAAACTGTTCCCTGCAGCACTAGCAGTCGGACACACACCACAGAGCTAGGCCGGTGCTGGTGAGCAGTGTGAACTGGACAGGTCACAGCACCCATCGAGAGCTTTACGTTGGGGCATAGTTGAGCTGAAGGAGCTTGGGTGCACTAGAGTACCTGTCCCAGGGCTGCAAGCAGGGAGCAGAGGGGATGCCTGGCCCCGCCTTCCTTGGCACAGGCAGGACACTTGCACCCCTCGCCCCTGGTCCCCAGGCGGTTGTCCCCTGCACCAGAGCTGCCAAGCAGCTCAGCCCTCCATGAGCACACCAGGAAGCAGGAGGGATGCTGTCTAGGGAGCATCTGACAGACCCAAGCTGTGCTCCCACAGACATTTGCTCTGGCGCTGGGGCCAGGGCCCTTGCCACAACCACCTTCCTGCCTGCAGCCAGGCATCCCCTGGCTCAGATCCTCCCTGCTCCTGCTCACTCTCTACTCTCTGGGTTGGACCTCCCCACCTGGCACTGGCACTGTATATGTTGGGTTTGTGGCAGGGCTCCCACAGGCTGTTCTGCTCCAGCTGTGGAGGGAGAAGGGCACCAGGCACCATAGCAGAGTTCTGTTGCTCTCTGCTAGAGGGGATCTGGGCTAGCCACTTGCTGCTGAGGAGTAGGACTGCCGCTTTTCACCTGATCATGTCCCTTTGCAGGCTGCATGGGACTGCCCCCACAGCACCCGCAGCTGCAGAGCGACAGAGATTCTAGCCTCCCAGGTAAAGAAACAAGGAATTCATGGGGACACCAGTCTCGTGAGAATTGCAGACGGGGTCGCAGTGCTAAGACCCATCTCAGAGGAGAGCTGTTCCCCTGGCCCAGGCTCTGCTCATGAGTGGACACCCCACGGGGGAGCAATGGGGCATATTGTGTCCCATCAGGCACTCTGAAACCCCCGCATGGCCAAGCCAAGCCCTGTGGTGAGATACTAGCATAGGCAGCATGGGTGCCGGGGTTCAGCCTCTATTTGTGCCTTCAGCCCTGCAGCCTGATGTTCATCCTGTCAGCCCACGCTGTATGCCCCCCCAGCCCCATGTCACCCTCCACTCGCCTCCTCAGCCCCACATCCCCCTCCACTCACCCCCTCAACCCCATAGCCCCTTTTGCTCATCCCCTCAGCCCCATGGCCTCCACTGCTTGTCCCCTCAGCCCCACAGCTCCCAGCACTTGCCCCCTTAGCCCTGTAGCACAGGGCAGGCAGGCAGCATACTGAGGTGCGACGCCTCAGCCACTGGAAAGCAGAGTGTGGAGCCCGGGTGCAGCAGCGCCCAGAACAATGCCTCGGGCCTCTGCGTGCGGTGGGAGGAAGCCCAGGCCCCCATCAGGGCACTGCACG